AGTAAACGCAAATTTTCAAGAATGAAATTTGGCAAGCGCCCCCATGAGAGAAGAAAATGTGTCCAGTGTAATCCCTATTCTAAATCTTTCCAAATTGCTCTAAATCCTGAAGTAGGGCTACGTGCATACAACAGACCAGCGTGGGGGTAATGCCTTATTCGTGCTCTGTTTCTGAATGAGAAAAAGAAACAACTCATAAGCCAGCTTAACACTGCTGTGTTTTGGTTCATTTTCAAAGAAAAAATAAACTTGTGTTTCACAGATCACTTTCTCCTGTTTAGATACTCATCTTTTTGCAAGGTTAGCTGCATTTACAGAGTTGCTATTTGGACCCAGAACACAGCTAAAATGAATGACCCTAAATGCCCAGTCTGAATACAATTAAAAAAAGTATTACCTGCACTAAATATGAACTTCTGGGGAATAAACAAAAATGTGTTAGCCCTTGCAATGGGGAAACCCGCACACTGCAAGGGCTAAAAGAACTATTGGGTAACCTTCGCCCCCCTCATAGTTCTCTTTACAGTCACGGGAGAACATATACTAACATCCTCCCGTGACCCAAAACTCAACATATAGCAGGAGAGCTTCCCAGGCAGGACGGATCCCAACAATACTGTCGAGATCCACCCCGTTGGCTGATTGAAAGCGGGCTCTGCCTATCTGGAGGCAGAGCCAGCTGTGCCCGCCCCCTGCCAGTCCGTTCCTCCACTCAGTGTTGAAGAAACAGAGAGGGGAATCCCTGTGGGGAGCTGTGACTTACAGTCACTACTCTCTGCAGGGGGATGATCGAGAAGTGAGCAATCAGCAATATGTTTTTACTCACTTCTCGATCAATAGACTCGCTGTGTGAGTTTCAATGTCACACATCAGCTCTAACTAGGGGGGATGAGTGTAATTCACACCCCAAAGTTCTCCTTTAAGCGCTCGTTTTTGTCTAGGACAGGGGTGGGGAACCGCCAGCCCTGGTGAAACTACAAATCTCATGAGGCATAGCAAGATTCTCACAGCCACCACTCCGAGACAGATGCCTCATGGGATTTGTAGTTTCACCACAGCTGGAGGTTGGGTGCTACAAAAAAAAAGTTATACTCACCAGACCATCCAAGCCGGCTCCCTGCTTCCATGATCACTAAAGTGTCTTCTCATCTGCATCCTCACGTCCATACATAGTATATAGAGTGTGATGACACCAGGATCTTAGACCGCTGCAGCAAAGAGTGAGAGAAGGCGGCTCAGATGGTCTGGCGAGTATAACTTTCTTTTGTGCACCTCAATGAACCAGAGCTTAACCCTTGCAGTGCCGGGGTAGCCCCACTGCAAGGGTAAATTATGTTTTTTTTTCTCTGGAGTTCTTTCCTGGAGAAATGTCCTCTAAATGCATGCAAGTCACTAGCCATGTGACTGGGGACCTAAAGTGACACTAAACTCAGGAGTTAAATCTTAAAAATACATTCAAGCATCTTAAACAGTAACATGAATGTTTTAAAAAAATGTTAAGGTCAGTGGACTCCAATCAACCTTTGTTTTAAACTGTAGTGACAAGGAAAATCAAAAGGAACCTGATGGAATTTCTTTCCTTGTTTATCTGAATGGGCAAAATTCTAACTTTGAAACTGGATTTCCCCCCAACCTCAGGAATAATCATATTGTAATGCACACAAGAAAAAGCCTGTTTAATATGTCTGGGATTTAATTTAAGTGGCAGGTCTGGATAACATTTTTAAACGACATTAGTTGACTCAGAATAACTCAAATAGTGTGTCATTAAGACACATATAAAAGTGTCTAAGGGTTATAGGACTAGCGTTATTTGCGCCAAATGATTGTACAAGGGTGCATAGTAGGGATGCACCGACACTTGTATCAGTGTAAATACTGAGCATTTAGGCGAGTACTTGTACTCTCCCAAATGCTCCAATACCAAAACTTCCGGACAGAGGGAGATCGCCTCTGACTGGCAATCCCGCTAGCAAACATGGAGCCGGCTTCCCAACCAATCAGTAAGCCGGGCAGCAGGTTATGACCCGCCTCCCTCTCTGGCCAGTGACACTGCAAGACAACCTGGCTTCCTGACCAATCAGGAATTTGGGCGGGAGGTCATGACAACCTACCCGGCTTTCTGATCGGTCATGAAGCCAGGCTGCCTCGCAGTGTCATAAGGGAGCGTGAAGCCGATATTCAATAGAACACTGGCCCACCACCTGGCTTCCCGTTTAGCCGGGCCCATGGTACCTCGGAATGGAGGTATTCGGTATCGGGGAGTACAGAAAAAAATTATATTTATACATTTCTATTAGGGACGCACCGATATATCGGCCGCCGAAATATACAGCCGAAAATGGCACTAATGCCGAAAGTGCCATTTTCCTGCCGATACATTGGACATCCCTGACTTCTTTCCTCCCCGCTGGGCACTGCTCTATGTCCCAGCGGGGAGAAGAGAAAGTGACAGCCGGCCGAGCCCTGCGGTGGAGAGCGCTGTGAGCGGCCGGCGTCTCCTCCCACACCGCTCAGCCACCTCTCACAGTCCGGCAGAGCGGTGTGTGGGCGGAGACAACGCTGTCACAGGAGGCTGGGCGTTTTCTCTCTACACCGCTCGATTAGCCTCCCGTGACAGCGTGTCAGAGAGAAGAGCAAGGTACACACACTCGGCGATCGCTGAGTGTACATAATTGATCTAAATCACCCCCATTCATTCTAGTAAACAATGTTCTCATGTTATCAATTCCTGTTCATTGACAACAGGGAGCACAGAAAAAGAGATTGAGGACTTTGTAATCTCGATCTCTTTTTCTATTTTAAAAAGGGAAATATGAGGGGTCCCCGAAGCCCCTAAAAGTAAAAAATAAAAATATGAATGAGTAAAAAAAAACAAAATTAAAAAGTTTATAAAAAAAATAAATAAAATTAAAAAACATTTTCGGTATCGGCATGACTTTTTTTCATTTCGGTTTAGTTATTAAATTTTCCATTTTGGTGCCCCACTAATAAATATCTTGAAAAATCCACTAGTCTGACGAGAGGACGGTGGAGCCCGACGAGCAGCTTCCCGCCTGGCCGTTGCAATTACACAGCCGGAAGCTTTACATTCAAGCGATCGGACGTCTCTAGAGACGCTCAATCGCTTGTATTAGCAGCTGTCACTGCCGATCCCTAGATCCGCTGTGCCCGATGCGGCCCTGTGACAGGAGATCAAAGGGAGTTCAGTATACGAAAAGAAAGCTCTATCTGTCCCCAAGATTTTTTATAAAAATTGCAAGGCTATAGTCCGGTCATGCTGACTGGTGAAATACCAACCATCAAATTTTTCAAGGTATGTATGTATGTATGTATGTATGTATGTATGTATGTATGTATGTATGTATGTATGTATGTATGTATGTATGTATGTATATATATATATATATAAAATCGATCTATAGATATATATATTTATTCGGTACTCATGCTGAAAAATGCCTATCGGTGCATCCCTACTGCAAAGCATTGATGAATTTGGTGCAAACCTATGAAACAGGTGCTAGCTTGTGAGACAAACTTCGCACAGATATATGCACACTGATAAATGTACATAGATATGCCACATCTCTGCCCAAAGTGTACCATATGTGTGAGAGATTTCAGTTCGATCCTCACTGAAGGAATATCGCACCTGTGGTATGTGTCGCATACAATATGAACAGACGACAGACTAGTTACACCAAAAAGTACTAGGTCTAACTTTGTCGTAGGTCTAACTACGTCGCAAGCACAGCGCCAGATTGGAAAATATAGCCCAAATAAGAACTACTTGAATTTGGTGCAGGAGTCTGTAGAAGACCAGAAAATGGTGCTGAATGTTTCGGAATATGGCACAGACATTTGTTTAGGCTGAATTAGCACAAGATTTCTGGTGCAAATGTGATACTGAACTCCCCTGAATGATGACGTGATCAAATGTTCTAACCAACAATTATCCAAAGAAGGAATTGTAAGAGTGTTGTCAGCTATATGCTTAGATTGATGTTGTACTGAAGTATACAGAGCCCAGTGATAGGCAACACTGAGGTATTGTGTACTCCTTCCCCTGAGCACTAGAAGAGCCCCTTTGTTTTCAATAGCCCCTGTTCCCACCGGAGCGTTGGCACTTGTCACCTGAAGAAAGTACATGACCTTTTGCAGGCTGAATTGTTCATTTAGGCCTTTGACTAGAAGCAATTGACAATTTTTGAGACACTCCCATTGGAAAAAACAAAAACCCACTTAGAAACAAGTACAGAAGCAAAAAAATGGCCTGGCTGTGCTCACACATAGGGGTGACTGGAGCCAGGCCTCGAATGGGAGAATATATTGCATTTCAATCCAGATAACGTCATGAATCAGTCACGCCAAACTGGAGAAAGGAAAGAGAAAGAGCCTTGCATAATTACAGCCCCCCTCCTCCTACATGCAACATGTCTGCCCCCTGGAAGTGCAGGGATGCCAGGGTAACACCACACGAGGAGGAAGTATATATAGACAGGACACTCGTTATAGCTCAATAGACAGAAAGAGGTAAAGGGGGAAGGAGGGTGGAGGAAGCGGGACACGAGGGGAACTCTTCCATATGTGACGGGCCCAGTGCCCATCCTCCTCAGGCCCCCGCCACGCGGCTCTGTCCTCGCGCTCGCTGCCGCGTGACAGGCACGCGCGCGCCACCAGCCCCGGCGAAGAGCGGTCCGACCACCGGCGGGAACAGGCCGAGGCTGCAACACCTCAGGCGTGACCATCGCGGCCTCCTATGAGAAGAGTTGCCGGAGAGAACGAGGGAGTGCGAGTTTCTCCTCAGTTCAGACACACGCTGCTCCGGGCTCCTCCTCCTTCAATCCCTCCGCTCCGTCCACAAGCACACCACATTCCAGCCCCGATCAGCAACCTCACCGAGAAGCCACGGGTACCCTTCTCCCCCACCCATCCATGGCTCCAGACCCCCGTCCGCTCCGTTCGGCAACGATCCCAGCTTCACGGGATCTACTCACCGGCTCCACGGTCGCCATTTTAGATAGTTGTGACTGCACAGCAGCCGCTGGCAGGGAAGAAGAGGAGAGGTGGGAAAAAAAAAACTATTCAAACCCGGTTGGTTTGGGGCGGGTCACGTGACGTCCGGCAACATCTGGGCTTGCGTAGCTCCTCCCGTACTCTATCCCGGTGCTCGCAGGGAGTTGTAGTCGCATTGCCCTCATTGGCATTCGCGTCATGTGGGAAACTGGAAGCGCTGAGTGTGCGGTGACGTCAGCGGTGTGGGCTCTGATTGGCTGGGTGAGGGATAAAGGGAGTTCTTCCATACAGGGCTGAGTACTCAATGGGGGCGGTTTGATTTCAGGATGTTGGAGTGGCATTCTATGACCGACGGAAGACGCGTTCACCTGTATGAATGAGGAGGACTGTTCACTTCAACTGCCATTACAGTGGCCCTGGAATGTCCGTTCCCAAAACACTTCTCTGTTTATTACACATATTCCTGAGAAGATTTATGAAGCTCCAACTCTGGGCACATTTTATTCTCACAGAGTTGCAGTATTCAAACCATAACAATAACCTCTTATTTCCTCCTTTTTAACCCCTTAGTGACACATGCAGAAAATGTTTTCCTTCCTGGGGACCGGAGCAATTTTGCCATTTTTGCTATGGGTTTGTTTAACCCGAATTTCCATCTTCCTCATTCATTGCACCTACACATTATATACTGATTTTTAAAGGACAAAATGGGCTTTAATTTGATGTGACATGCATATAGAAATTCTTATTTTTTTATTTAAAAAATTAACCACTTGCTGTCCGGAGCAATTTCTTACTATTTGCACACACTTGATATAATCTGAATTGTTGGTTAGAAACCAGCTTCAAACCCCCAAACATTGATATATTTTCTGTAGCCCTGTAGAATTAAAAAAAAAATGCTAGTTGCAATTTTTTATGTCGCATGGTATTTGTGCAAATGTTTATCAAACCAGTATTTTTAGGATAAAATACACTAAAATGAAATTTAGTGCACATAAACAGAATATAATAGCCAATGTTTTGGTAAAATATAAAAGACGGGGTCATGCCGGGGAAATAGATAGCAAACATGTCAAGCCTTAAAATTGCGTGCATCCATGAAACCGCAAAAAACTACAATAACCAAAATTCCCCATAGGCGACACTTTAAAAGCTTTTACCACTCATTAGTTTAGTGCTAACAGTGATTAATGGTTCTAGAATTATTTCTCTCAATCCGACGTTTGCGGCGATATGTAACATGTGTAGCACAATTTTCGTTTTTGCATGTACGTGCGTATGTATGTGCATGCACGTGGGGGCAGCGGACTTTAAAAAAAAATAAAAAAATTTGCATTTCTTAAATTTTTTATGTTACTATAATTTTATTTTTTAAACACTTTTTTTTTTTTACACTAACCTTATTGCTATCACATAGGGGGCTAACAAGCCCCCTATGTAATAGCAGATAGGGTGTGACAGGTCCTCTTTATGGAGCCATCAGGGGTCTTTCAGACCACTAATGTCACCTAGGGACCCCAAAAAAGCGGATGAAGCAGAAATCTGCTTCCCCAGCTTCTGCTCCTCACTCTAAGATGCCTAGAAGTGACAGTTGGCTCTCAATTACATCAGAGAGTAAGATGGCGGTGCAACCTGGTGTGCAGCAATGGTGTACAAGACCACCGCAGATCAATACTGGATTCATTGGGCATGTACATTTATTGCAGATATACCAGGTCAGGTCAAAAAAGGATTTAAAAAATATACTCCAGGAGAGAGGTTCCTCCATAACCAATGTGCACATGTTTTTCAGTGTGGTCATCCACCCACTGAGACATCACATCTTGCCTTCTGTGTAATTATGGGTCATCCCCCTTTGTTTCCGTTTTCTAAGACTGGTGGCCACTCTCCCTACTCTCTCCCTGGCCTCCGGTCTTGTAACACCCTCTGTGTAATTTACTTATAGGTAACATAATGTATATAGTATAGCAACATAATGACTTCACCACTCGTTGTAGCGGAAGGACCCCAGAGTCTTAGACTTTGCTTAGCAGTTCAGTTCTAGTCACATCCTTTTCTAGACTTGAACTTAAAAAGGTGAGAATTTGTTGTGTGTCAGAGAACATTTGGAAATGGTAATTGTGTCTAAGCAGTACCATGTAAAATGAACCTTTTGTCTGTTTCCTCCTGAAAAATAGCGATGCACTTCCTGGTATGTGAGGGTACCCAGGCACTCTTGGGCCTACAGCCTTTTTGCTGTACTGTATATCTGCACTGTGAGATCCAAGTTACTGTTGGCCTCTGACTAATAGTCTCAGGAGATCTGGATTGAGCATTGGCGATGTTTGCTGTTTCCCTGTTTTCCTTGCTGGAGGCTTTCAACATGAGGAAGCAACACCCTGCCTCTACCAAGCTGCCCCTTAAACACAGACACACAGTGCAGAACAAGGCATGATACTGTATGTCAGTAACTGGAACAAGATTTGCTGCAGGCAATACTGGTTACGAGTTCTTTACCCTCTGCCTCCCTCTTTTTGGGCACAGCTCTCAGAGCTCAGTTCCACTTTATGCCCATTCTCCATTACCTTGTTAACGTAACATTAAGGCCTTGTTCACACCAAATGCAGACCAGATCCGGTCAGGTTTCTGCACACGCAGTGTGGTGGGTTGTGCCGTGTTTTAGACGCGTTTTGGATGCGTTTAGGGCCGGTTTTGGTGAAAAAAAAAAATATTTTTTTTTTTTAAGTTTAACATGGACTTTCAGGCACTTGCCTGTGTTTTTGCGTTTTAGATGCGTTTTTGATGCGTTCCAGTCCGTGCCGTGAGCAGGTAAAATAGGGCTTGCCGCATTTTTTTCATCCGGTCTGGATCTGGTCTGGATCCGCACGCTGCGATGTGAACTGGAGGTCAAAATACCATAGGAATACATTGGACGCAGTTTTGATCCGGTCTGCACCTGCTCTGGTCCGGATCTGCTCCGCGCTTGGTGTGAACAAGCCCTCAGGCTCTCTTCTTCCTTCCACTCGTTTCTGACAGTCCCTCCAGCGCCTGTGCCGGTCTTTGATCCAGCACAGACTTCTCATGCCCCATGGAGTCTTTCCAGGGTGCTCGCTCCCGGCTGCCCAGCTGTGTCCATTCACACTCATTGTCTGTTTTCTCCCCTTCGCTCTACTGCACATGCGCCCGCACACTTCCTCCTTCACAGCTGTTCAGGAGGCGGGAGTTCTTCAACCGGGAGCGAGCAGTGCTGGAACAGGTAAATAATTGGGTTTTGGCATTCTTTTTTATTTATTTTTTAAATCATGGGGCATATATCTGCTGCTTGCTAGCAGTAGATATAGTGAGGAAAATAATGATTTAATCCCCTGCAGATTTTGTAAGTTTGCCCACTTACAAAGAAATGAAAGGTCTATAATTTTTATCATAGGTATATTTTAAATGATAGAGACAGAGTATCAACCAAAAGTCCAGAACAAAACACAGGATACAAATGTTATAAATTGAGTTGCAGTTCAGTGCTTAAAATAAGTATTTGATCCCCTAAAAACCAACAATAATTCTGTCTCCCACAGACTGGCTATGTGGTACACGGATTAGTCCTGTCAATTTATGAAGGTGCTCCTAACGACTACTTGTTATGTATAAAAAAAAGACACCTGTCCACAGAATCTTTCTTCCATTCAAACCTCACCACCATGGGCAAGAACTAAGAGCTGTCAAAGGACATTAGGGACAGTGGTGGACCTAAGGAACAATGGGCCCTGGTGCAAGATTTTTTTTTCTTTTCACTCCCAGGGGTGGGCCCGAAGTGGATCACACTGGCCACACAACCGCTCTGGCAGTCTCTGCACCAAAGGAGCTTACACTCTAATGTCCCCCCATGGTCACACACTATTATTATGCATTTATATAGCTCTGACATATACTGCAGTGCTGTATAGAGATCACTGAGTCAGTCACATCAGTCTCTGTATAGAGGAGCTTACACGCTAATGCAGAATGGCACCAGCTGTGGAGGGACTTAAAATCCCAGCAATACATTATACAGCAATGCAGAATAGTATATAAATTGGACTCTGGACTTGGGAACGCGCTGGACCCTGGCTTTAAGGACGCGCTGGACTCAGGGACGCGCTGGACTCAAGAAAGGAGCACAGCCGGCTTTACCTCTAGACCTCATTCTGATACCCTCATTGGAAGATTTCCCATCTGATCCTCTAGTGACAACTCAAAATTTTTGATTTTCTTTCACTTTCAGTGATAACAGACACCATAACAGAGAGGATTAATCTTTCATCTTCATTCACACATAGGCATTTGAGATTTTGCATGTTTTATGTGTGCGGTTAAACGTGGAATTTTTTTATAGACGCACAGTTTTGCATGCGTTTTCAGCTACACTAGAGTCTGTTGGGGACAGACGCGCTGAAATCTGGCAAAAAAATTGCACATACTTTTTTCTGCATTGCGTGTTTTTGTGTGCGCGTACGAGCGTGCAGGTGTTTTTTATGTGTTGCGCGTTTACCCCTGTGTGTTACTGGAGACTAACAGACAGCAATAAAAATAAAAATAAAAAAAACAGACAGGTTTTCTTATCCCTCTCCACTATATCCAGAACTAAAAAACAGTTTTGGCTTCAGTTTCACTTCAAGCCTGTTTCTACCCACCCCATAGCCGTCTGAATCTAGGAATCCACCAATAGCTGCTTACTTTTCTCATAATGACAGCCAAGTCCTCCTCCACTGTTTACCTCCTCTAGGCCAAAATTATTTACAGCACTGTGTGCCACCATAGACTTGAATAGGGCCATACAAACTTGTATGTGCTTGTTCGATTGTCGCCAGAGAAGATTGGTACATTCTAAAGTCTTACTGATAAGGATACCAAATTGGACCTTTCAAGTGATCATTAAATGAAAATAGATTATGAAATTCGGACCTTAAAAAGAAGTTCATACAATCAATACACGCCACAGTTTGAGTTTATTTGGTTACCCTAGACCTGAAAGATGGAAATGACCATGTTCCTATCTTTGCCTGCTTACAGAATTTCTAAAATACACTATACTCTCCTCCATCTGCAGCTCAGGGCTTCTGCTTTTGGTATTCCAGCCACCTTGGATATGTTCACCAAGATTATGTTAGAGATGGTATCACACAGGAGACTCCAGGGTCATATAGTAGTACAGATCACAGTTGTATTTTATCTGGTCGACTTCCTCAGAGCAGTATATTC